GCGAGGATGCTCCCTTCGAGTAAGTTGGCAACCATTTCCTGCAAAGCAATAGCTGTGCACAGGGCTGGGCTTGTCGATGCGAATTCAGTGTTGTGTGTTATTCATGTGTTGGCGAACTGCGCGCAGCGAAGAGCAGTGGAAGAAGATCAAGGCATCCATCACAGGTTCAGCATCTGCTGTTGCCCCGAGTCTGCTGGCCGTTGCTATTGCCATCGTTGGGTTGGTTGCCCTTTGAAGCAGTGATCTCTCCGTGGCACCTAGCTGCTGCCTATACTATTCAACTAGAGCAGCGCTCCGCAGCGTCTTATATATATTTTCCTATCCTCAGAACAGACACTCTGACTTGCGTGTACAGCTTAAGCAGGTGTTTGCCTTCCGCTGCATTCATAGGATTGTGGCTATAGAAAGTTTTCAAGACGCGCCCTATATACTCCTGCTTGCGGCTGTCGGATATGCGCTGCGTGCGCAACTAGTTAACAGTCCTTCTCACCCTTTTCACTTGAATGGGCAGCAGATGCTTGCTTGCCTCGGCTGCTTCTGTTGCGAGGACGTGAGTCGTACGTACTTTTTCTTTTTTGCTGGTTTAATTGACCGGTATTATCACTCTCCAGTTATAAATCCCACACCTGGTGAGTCACTGCATGCTTGGACAGGTGTTTCCGCACATTTGTGCGTGCATACCGCCGTGCATACGTGCATGTTGCTGACGAGGGCAGTAAGTCTAGCGAGCGGCAGCAGTTCGCACTTTGTAGGGTGACTTAGTACAGATGTGAAGCTGAAGAGTTTGATAGAAGGGTGGCCGCCATTAGCACTTAGCCTTTCTATATTCTGTTGAAGGAGCCTTGGGAGCATCGACACAGGGCAGGTCGCCCCGATGAAGGGGCACGGTACAACGCCCTGGGCCACGGCCAGAATAGCGGGGAGCCACAATTTAAAGAACATGTATACTAATAGAGTTCATAACTGGCTCACGTACCTTATAAGGGGCAGGCAGATGGACAGAACCACATGGATCGAGCACGAGGGACCTCGGCCCTCCGGATCCCAGATTCACCGAGAATGCCAGGGGTTTTCGGCTGCCGTTTGACGTCGCGTTGAGCGACAGCAGGGGGCACTGAGTAGACAATAATTGTTAAAATACCTCATTGAAGTATTTTTAACAACGTCGGGGCTGTAAACTCGACTCCAGCAAATGAGCAGAATGACCACACTCCCGACCGTATGGCCCAGTCCCAGTTCGGTCCCTCGCCACCTCCTCCTGCACACACACTGCACAACATATTGGTACGTCTGCACCTGAAGCCCCTTAAAAACTTCCCCCATTCCCCCCGTTTTCTCCTTCACATATTCAACTCCAACACTGAAAACATGGCGGCCCTTAAACTTTTTTCGCTCGCCTCTGCGTCTGCGCTCGTGATGGCGAACGCTGTCCAACAAACCGAGAAGCAAACTCCATTGACAACGAGAGAAGTAACATCAACCTACACTGTAAATCTTGGTATGGCGGCAAATACTTGTTTGGTAGGGAGGGTTTCAGCCTTGTGGTGGCGCAAAGTAACTGCGTTTGCGACGATGAGTCGTGCTGGAGTTTCTGTGGCGCTCGGCACCCAAGAAATCCCGGCAAAGGCATTAAATTGCTCCAACAGACTTCTTCAAACATCAATACTTGCACATTTGGGCGTATAGTGTCTGCGGCATTCGCTGTTCTACAGGGGAAACTGCTGTGTGCCTCGACGAAATCAACGATGCACGCGAAGCCGCCGGACTGGCACGCTTTGTAACGGGCAACACTGAAGACCTAGCGTGGCCTAAAACTGGCAGTGAGGGAACAAAACAGCAAACCAATGCGTGGGATCCTGTTTGTAAAGCCCTGATAGAAGTAAGTGTCCTTCATCGCGTCATCTCCTCCTCTCCCTACTACATGCTGTCTCATTTCTTCATATATCTGTGCATGCTTCATTTCAGGACGACTCACAAGAACCGGAAGAGAGCCCCGCTTCAAGCGAATTTAAAAGTGGCACGTACGCCTTCATGGCCTTGGAATCAGAGACGCCTGACTGCGCCGCCGCAGTGAGCCACTGGAAGGACGCCGCCAGCAACTTCACTACAATCCCTCCGGCGAAGACTGAAGAAACGGATCTTTACGACAAACAGCAGAACGTTTCCTTCATTGCTATGTACAACCCTTCAAACGGTGCCGCTGCTGACTGCCGAGTCGTTACCTGCACTCTACCGCCAAATTCCGGACCCGTAGCATTCAACATCCGGAAAGCTGCGGAAGAGAAGAAAGGATATGCTCTACTGTGCATGACTACACCTGACGCACTTAAAGACGAGAAGGTTCCCTTCACGTAAGGCGGCAACCAATTCCTGCAAAACGGTACTTGTGTAGATGGCTACGCTTGTGGATGCGAATACAGTTTTGTCTGTTATTCATCTGTTGGCATGTTGCACACAGGGACGACCAGTGGAACAAGATCAAGGCATCCATCACAGGTTCTGCATCTGCTGTTGCTCCGAGTCTACTGGCCGTCGCTATTGCGGCCCTTGGCTTGGTTGCACTTTAAAGCAGGTGCCTCTCCGTGGCACCCGGCGGTTGCTGATAGTATTCAGGAACCCCGCGCACCGCAGTGTCTTATTTATATTTTCCTTTCTTCAGAACAGACACTCTGACTGGCGTGTACAGCTTAAGCAGGTGTAAGCAGGTGTTTGCTTTCAGCTGCATGCATAGGACTGCGGCAATCGAAAGCTTTCAAGGCTAGCCATCTATAAACCTGCTTGCGCGTGTTGGATTTGGGCTGCATGCGCCACTAGTTGACAGGCATTATCAACACTTTTCATTTCTATGGGCAGCAAATGCTTGCCTCTATCGGCTGCTTTTGTTGCACTGACAGGAGTCCCACGTACTTCTTCGTTTTTTCTTGTGGAATTGAGCTGCATAGTGACTCTCCCGTTGTCTACCCAGCACGTTGTGCGTCGGTACATGCCTGCGCAGGTGTTTTCGCACATCTGTGCGTGCATCAAGCCCTGCATGTATGCGTGTTGCGGACGAGAGCAGTACGTCTAGCGACCAGCAGCATTTCGCACATTTCAGGCTGGGGAAGTGCAGAGGGGAAGCTGAAGTGTTTGATAGGAGGAAGGCCTCCAGTAGCTTTTCGCGTTTCTATATTCCGGCGCAGAAGACGTGAGAGCATCGACGAAGGGCAAGTCGCCCCGTTGAAGGGGCAGCATACCAGCGTACATCTCCTGGGCCACGGCCAGGAGGGCGGCGAGACACAGTTTCAACGCAACACAAACTCATAAGGTTCATATATGGCTCAACTACCTTATAAGGAGCTGGTGCATTGACAGAACAACATCAATCGAGCATGAGGGACATCGGTCCTCAGCATCCCTGATTCACCCAGAACGGCAAGGATTTCCCGCTGGGGTTTCACGTCGCGTTGAGCGGCGGTAGGGGGCACTATGTAGACAATAATTATTGAAATACCTCATTGAAGTATTTTTAACAACGACGAGGTCGTAAACTCAACTCCAGCGAATAAGCAAAATGACCCCACGCCGGACGGTATGGGCCAGTCCCAGTCCGCTCCCTCGGCACATCC